GACTCATCCTCCCACATGTCTTGATCTAGGTAGCTAACTGCTTTGCTTGTGGTGTTCCTTAAATACCTGTTTCTCCTACCTATCTGACCATTTTTTTCTCTGTCTCCTTTGCTGTGTTTTTATCCAGGTCACATCTGCTAACTGTGCATATCTCACAGGGCTCTGTCCTGGGCCCTGTTCTTTTTTCCCTCTATACTGTTTTACTTGGTGATCCCTTTAGCTCCTCTGGATTTCATTATCATCTCTATGCTGATGATTCTCAAATCCATTTATTCTTCCCTAACCTCTCTCCTGGATGCCAGTCTCACCTGCCTATTGAATTTTCAAACTGTATGTCCTGTAGTCATATTAAACTCAACCTGTCCAAAATTAATTCATTATCTTTCACGCAAAACCCTTCCATCTTCTAACTTCCCTAGTACTGTCCAGGGTTCCTAGTCACCTAGCCTCACAATCTAGGTGTCATCCCAAACTTCTTACTCTCATCTTCCATATCCAGTCTGTTTCCCAGTCTTGTTGATTTTATCTTCATGACATCTTTCATATATGCCTGTTTTTCTCTTCTGACACTGTCTCCACTCTAGTGCAAGTCCTCATCACCACTCCCCTGCCTGGACTGTTGCAATAGCCTGCAGGTTGGTCTCATTGTCTCAAATGCCTCCACTCTCTAGTCCATTCTGCATTCAGCTGTTATGTTGATCTTCCTAAAACACAGGTCTGACTGTGTCACCCCTCTGTTCAGTAAGCTCCATGGCTCCCTGTTGCCTCAGGGATCAAGTGTAAATCCTATTTGGATTTTAATTCCTTTCGTAACCTGGCCCTTTTCTACCTTTCTTCTTGCACTTTACTCTTTTTCATGTACTCTACAGTCCTGCTACACTGGACTTCTTGCTGTTCCTCACACATGACAGCCCATCTCCTCCATACACTTTCATTGGTGGCCTTTTGTAAGGAAAAAAAGGAAATAAGCTAGATTAAGTGACAGGGAAGAGAATTAAGTAAGAGGCATAATGGTAGATAGCAGAGTCTTAACGTCTAGGTCTAGGGAAAGACAAAAAGGTCCTGCCCAAGATGCTCTGAGTATCTTCTCCATCACACTGGTACTTTCTTTGCCTCCTCCTTCCTTCTGTATTGTGAGGCATGGACCCCAAGTGTGTATACCTATAGCACGTGGCTAGAAATTTGGGCTTGCATTTATCAAAGGTCATTCAGTCAACACACATTTATTAAGTGCCTACTACATGCCAGGCACTTGTACTAAGCACTGGGTATGCAAAGAAATTGTGCCCATGCAGTTCCCAGTCTAATGAGGAAGACAACATACAAACAACCATGTCCAAACAAGATGTATATATAGGATCAAATGGAAATAATAGAGGGATGGCACTAACATTAAGGAAGATTGGGAAAGACTTCTTGTAGAAGGTGAAAGTTGAGCTGGTCTTGGAAAAAAGCGAAGGAAGCCAGAGGAGACACAGAAGAGGAGGGAGAAAATTCCAGGCATGGACACCAGCTAGTGAAATACAAAGTCAAGAGACTGATTATGATCAAGAATGTCACTGCATCATTTAGTATCTTGGGGTGAGGAAGGTTTGAAAACCTAGGAAAGCTAGGAAGGGGCTGGGTATTTTTATATGCTTATCAATTTGTAAATTTTACAACCACAGTGAAACAATGACATTGTTCCATTTAATAAGAATTGGTTATAAGTTGGATTTGATGATTTCCTGTTCTTCTTTATCCCAAGTGCTTTGGGGTCTTAAAATTCCAAACAGGTATCATTATGACTATTTTCATTTGTAAGGATTATAGTACTTACAAGTAGAAAGGAACCTTAGGTATCAACTAAGTATCCCCCTCATTTTACAGATAGTAAGGTACAGATTCCCCCTCTCCCATCTTGACCTAAAAAGATCATAACAATAATGAGGACAATGAGAGCAATATATAGCTTACAAACAGCTTAACATATAGGAATAGGGCCTAGACCAGTGATTCTATTGGCTTAGGGAACTTTGCCTGGTGAAGAAATGCCTTCTACTTATGCAGTGAGGCACCTTCTCAGCATCTGAAAGTTACATAGAGTTACTGAGAGGATTAATGACTTGCCCAGTGTCATAGCCAGTTTGTGTCACAGCTGGGACTTGAACCTAGATTTTATTGGCTTCAAGTTTGACCTATTCCCTTTGCTGCACTGCCTCTAACTTTATATATAGTATTATTTAATTCTCACTGCAGTTCTGTCAGGTGGGTAGATAAGGATCGTTATGGGAATGCATATGGGAAAATGCATTTCAGAGGGTTGAGTGCTTTGCCTTAGACACAAGGAAGTTAGTGCAGGAGCTAGGATCCAAGCCCACGTCTTTTGACTCCAGGTCCAGGTTTTTTCACACTAAAACTTTTTGTCTCTGGACTTTGGAATGCTCATATGTAATATATGTAACAGTACTTTGTATAATTGAATAAGACTCTAGGATTACATTAATCTATTTATATCTTGAAATTTGGGTTATCTTTAGTGGTGCAGAGTAGGAATATCAAGCTTTATAAGTTGTTTTTGGTTGAGTTTATTGCTTTGATTTAGATTTTAGAGTAATCTATTATTGTGTAGTTTTCTATATATTTGTTACTTATTAACTTTAGTCTGTATGTAGTATTTAAAATGTTTAATCACTAGTTTGTAAAGTTATATTTATGATGGATAATTATAATTTTCAATAAATTTTTAAATTATGAATTGCAAACACTTGACTAAAGGGTAATACTGCACATTAGAAAGTCAGTCAAGTATGTTCTCTGAAACTTTTGCTATTTGATAGTGAAATCTCAAACTATTACAGCTGAGACAATCGAGATCATCTAATCCAACCCCTATATTTTGCTTGAATGTACAAAATATGAATTGTTGTTATAGGCGAGATATATGCTTATGCTCCACTTCTGACCTCTAGTAAAACTTGCAAAAGCCAACAGTTTTTATTGTTAAACAAAATTTTTAAAGAAAGAAATATTTTTAAAAGTTTCTCATTAATTTTTCCTTTGGTATAAGATGCCAAAGGGATGAAAAGAGATTTTTTTGAAGATCATTAAAATAAGCAATGAATTAGTTGATCATATTTTTAAAATTAAGGGAAAGAATAACAAAGTAATAAAAAGTAAAAAAAAAAGATATTCACAAAGAATGGAGAAATAAAAACTTGTCAGAAAATATTATATCCAATTATATGGCAACAAAATTGAAAATGTAGGCTATATGGATGCATTTTTCAAAAATATATAATACCCAGGTTAACAAAAGAGGAAATAGAGAATCTATAAAGAATGTGATCTCAGAGAAATTGAGTAAGCCATGAGTAAATTTCTCTCCCCTCCCCCCCAAAAATCCAGATGCATGTATAAAAAAATTCTATCAAATATTTAAAGAAAAAATAAACATAAACCATTCACAAAAGTAGAACATTTGGCAGCTTTGGTCTTTGTTTTGCCATATGGCCCTTATGAACTCATGACTGTGGTCCTATACAGGGACTGTGGGAAGTTTCTCAACTTTAGCCAAGTTCATGAGAGCAAATTCCTATTTATATGGGGGGAAAAGTTTCAGTAAATCTGCCAAGTTAGTGATGGAGGTAAGCTGACTCTTTTCTTCATCTCCTTCCCCATTCTCATCTCTCCTTCATTCCCTCAGCTAGTTACAGTACTCAAAGATTCCATAATATAACTGGAGTATAGACAACAGATAAAAAATGTTTTTTTCTTCTAATTACTCCCCTAAAACTCTTGAGAAATGAGGAAAATTGATGAAATACCAGTGACACATCAAGGGATGGAACTTTGCTGTATAAAAAGCCCCATCTTTGCTACTGCTTCCTTCTCTCCTCACCCCACTCCCTACCTAGATAAAGATTTTTTACTCATTTGCCCAGAAAATTAATGGCTACCAAACAATTTGCAGCATTCTGTTTTCAGCTTTTCTAAGGCTTCAATCAGCTTTAAAAATAATAAATCTAAAGTCTAAGTGTTTTGCAGGAGTTTCCTTTTTCCTTGCCTACCTTGGATAAAATTTTACCATAAAAATCAGTCTTTTGGAGAGATGTTTACCACCAAATGTAGGAAGTGAAATGGAGAGAACTTTTCATTTAAGAAGCAATCTCCTGAGTTAGTCTTTAGATGCCAAAGCATGCCAGACACACACACACACACACACACACACACACACACACACACACACACACACACACACACACGCATACGTGTTCAGGCCTGCAAGCCATTTCCACTTACTAGAATTGGCTCTAACCTAAGCTGCAAATATTCGTTTGAACTGATGCATATGAAGAAAGCAGAACTAAAAGAATAATGTTCACAGTAACCATAATGTTGTAATTGAAAACAACACTTAAATTCAGATGAAATGTAATGACTGTTCCTGGTTCCAGAGGCCTACAATGAAACTCTTTAGCATTTCACTAGAGAATTTTGCATGCTTTCTGTATTTCTTTTGCTCACCTGTTTTTCTTGGATAAGAGGATTGTTTATGGGGATGGTAATAACATTATTAAAGCAAAAAGCAGCGATGTAACTTGTTTTTTTTGGGGGTGGGCAATGCGGTTAAGTGACTTGCCCAGGGTCACACAACTAGTAAGTGTTATGTGTCTGAGGCTGGATTTGAACTCAAGTCCTCCTGAATCCAGGGCTGGTGCTCTATGCATTGAACCACCTAGCTGCCCCACATGTAACATTTTTTTAAAAAATGTTCATAAAATGTACGTTCCTTTCTGGAAAATGCAATGTTGACATGTAACATTTACTTTTTTTTTTAATGGTAACAGAATATATCACTTATTTCAGTGATGGTATTACAAGATAAGGCCAGAAGAGGTTTAATATTGGAGAAATCTTAAGGTTATGAAAAGTAAACTAGGGGGAGATAGAATGTTAAATGAAAATGTCACGATTAAACATTGATCTTTAAGAGGAAAGTTTATTTGTTTTGCTTTCAGGCTATTGCACATTATGAGCAATCAGCTGACTACTATAAAGGAGAAGAATCAAACAGGCAAGTTTTCTTTTAAAAATTAACAATTTGTTTTTGATGCATGTCCCAGAACTGACAGATGACCAGGTTTTGGTCAGTTTTATAAGTTGAAATAAACATTTTCTTAGGAAAAATCACTTTAGCTTATCCCTTTTTCTTTTTGGAATATTATCTATTTTTGACCCTATGATTCTTGATTTTCAGTTCAGCCAACAAGTGTCTTCTGAAGGTGGCAGCGTACGCTGCTCAACTAGAACAGTACCAGAAAGCAATTGAAATCTATGAGCAGGTTAGTCCATTTAATAGGCATCACTTTACACTATAAACCTTTTTGGATCATTTTTAAATTAATTGTTGGTTCTTACATTTAGAGAATGCTTATTGATTTACATGATATTTCATTGATTATTTTCTGTAATTATAATTGTAATTTGCTATAAATCAATGATATTGGTGTCTGTGTCTATTAATATTTCTTCATACTAGACTAGGGAGCAAAGGTTACCTGGCTGGAAAGTTTTCAAAACTTAATAGGCCATTGTCATTAGATTTTGTGATTTTGGGCAAGTCACTTAATCTTTATGGGACTCTATTTCCTCATTTGTGAAGTGAATTAGGTTTCTGAAGTTCTTTCCTGCTGTAGAGCTATGATCCTATTAATGTTGTATATTTGTTAATATAAAACAGACACATTTTTTTAACTTGCATGGGTTATGGTAGTATCAACATTACTAACCCAATAATTTCTGTTACTAGGTTGGAGCAAATACTATGGACAATCCTTTGTTGAAGTACAGTGCAAAAGATTACTTCTTTAAAGCAGCTCTTTGTCACTTCATAGTTGATGAATTGAATGCTAAGGTTGGTAGTTTTAAAGGACATTTTTCTAATATGTTATAACAACTGAAACAAACTTGCAACTGTCAACCTTGCTGATATCATTGTTGTTATTAGCATAGGTAATCTCTATTCTTATGAACAAATTACAAATAAAAAGCTACTAAAATTAAATTTCGTAAGTTATCCCATTTTATTCTTGACTATTAAAAAATAAAGCAAGGTTTTATTATGTCCAAACCCAGGACTTTAGTAGAGAACAAGAAGGAACCAGAATAGATCCTTACCTCATGAATGCTGATCAGGATCCATAACTGCTTAAACATAATGTTTGAATTTAGTAGAGAATGAAAAATGGGGGCAAGTTGAAGAGGGGAATCAATATGAAATAGAAGGAATTGGTTGAGAACAGAATATCAAAAGAACAATTTTAGACAAGTTTGTGCCAGCTCAGATTTGGGAAGCAAAGGTAAATAAGCTACATGAGAAGTATCCCTATCTTCTAAACCCAAATCCCACTCTAAATTAAATTCATTTTAACCCTGTACTGCAGAGGTATACTCTCAAGTGGAGCAAGAACCAGATTAAAAAGTGATTGGGAAAGGTTTAACAAAATAAATAAAAATGCAATATAACATTGAAAAATACAATATAATGTCAGTAGTGTTAATTTGTGGTTTTCTAAGTCAACATGAAGCCCACAGAGTTCTGTTCTATTTGAGTTTGATGCCACTACTGTACTGTGAGAAAGAAGCTTTTGTGTTTTCTCTTTTCATAGTCAGAGCCAAAAGAGTAGAGGACAAATGTTGCAGCAAGGCAGTTCCACTTCAGTTTTATTTGTCTGAGAAAGGACAGCAAAAATCATTTAGCTTGAGAACTTCCAAGTTAACTTTGTATTAGCTCACATTTCATCCTTCTTATAGGACTTCTTATTTTTGTATGTTTTCATTATAAAAGAGAAACAAATAAAATTTCATCTGTTAAGTGTTAGGTTTTGTGATGTTTCTTAAATGTTTATGTAAAGAGTAAAAGATGTTATTGATGGTATTAAATTTCATAGTAAAATGAAAATGTTCATGACCGAAGCATAAAATAGTCTTTCTATTTTAGCTTGCTCTTGAAAAATATGAAGAAATGTTTCCAGCATTTACTGATTCAAGGGAATGCAAATTATTAAAAGTAAGTGAAATTGGTACTATTAACAACAATAATAATAGCTCACCTCATCTATCACTTTAAGGCATTCAAAGCACTTTATTTCATTTGATCCTCAAAGCAACCCTATAATCATTCTAGATACTTAATATCTATTATTATTTTACAGATGAGGTATCAGGCTCAAAGACATTAAGTGATTTGGCCAGAATTACATAGCTTGTAATTGTTGAGGCTGAGATTTGAACTCAGGTTTCATCTGAGTCTGAGTTTAGAATTCTCTTTACTGTAGTATATCCTTGCCAAGTAAATAACCTCTAATATGTGTTGCATGATGCATATTTTAGAAGATATACATTTTCTTTTTGAGATAGCACATACATTGATTTAGTGCCAGATGGCTCTAACTTGTAGAGAGTGGAATTCACTGGGCTATTAGAGACCTGGCACCTTGCTACTTTCATAGTCATTTTTCCTGGCCATAATGTAGTGAAGCAAAAACATCATAGACTCCTAAGACATTAGAAAATGAAAATACTAGAAACAAGATTATAGTCAAATATTGACCCAAATGGATTTTTTGGGGGGTCTTTTTGATGAGGCAGTTGGAATTAAGTGACTTGCCTAGGGTCACATAGCTAGTATCAAGTGTCTGAGGCTGGATTTGAAGTCCGGTTCTCCTGATTCCAAAGCCGGAGCTCTATCCACTGTGCCACCTCGTTGCCTCCCCGATGTGTTTTTTTTTTTACAGATTTAATGAAGAACTATTTTCAAATTTATAGAGATGTTGACATTTTCTGAGAGTAATTCAGAAATGGCAAGCAGCATTAAGTAATTTAGATACTTCAATTGAAGAAACAAAACTGTATCTTTATGATTTGATCACAAAGATAGGATTTTAGGCTGCCATATATAGAATGTTGTCATATATAAAATCTCCAAGAAGCAACCTCTGAGATTACTTAGTATTGTCCTTTCATTTCATAGATGAAAGAACTGAGCCCCAGAAAGGTTGCCAAAGGTTACTGGGCAAGCACCAGCCTAGAACCCAAATCTCCTGCTTTTCTACTCTGGGATAACACTATTGTCCATATTTTTATGTTGTCAGAAACTGCTAGAAGCTCATGAGGAACAGAACAGTGAAGCTTATACTGAAGCGGTAAGTAGCACATGGCATTTTACATTTACGTAACTGTAATAGAGTTTTCAAAGATTTGACTTGCAGTATTTTTTTCATGTTTTCAGGTTATAAATGTGTCCGTGTTTTCTCAAACAGCATTCTCAGAGTATGCATATTAAATGTACCAAATGTGATATTAGTAGAAATAGCCAGTTAGGTTCCATGGAACCTAATGTCCTATTTATGGCATGGAAGTGACCCATGGTTCTTTAGGGTGATGCTTACAGAGTGTAACAGTCTGGTTTTGCCAAAGTTCTACCAACCTAGAAAGGCTTAAAATACAATCTTAGTGCCAAACTAGGTCTGCTTTTTGAAGACAGGCTAAATTAGAAGGGAGAGGCTCTTCACCACTAGAGTATCTTCTAGGTGATGAATTATTTGACCATGGCAGCCCCTGAAAATTGAAAAAAAAATTATACTTAGTCTTTTTTAACCCTTTTCTGTTTCTGCAGTAATAGTGGCAGAATGGCAAAGAATACTAAGAAAAACACGGTTTTTAGTATGTTTATAAATATTAACCTGAGTGTTGCTACTCTAACTTATGATTCTTACCCAGTAATTAGCAAGTACATGTACTGCCAAAGGAATTGAATCATGTCAATACTGATATTCTTGCTATAAATGAAAGCGAGAAATATAAGGAAGTTGAAGCTAAATGGAAGAATGCCCCCCTAGTTCTTAACAAGGCAATTAAAGAAATTGATAGCATTGGTTTTACTGTGTTTCTAAAAGGACCAGAAAACATCATTTCATTTGACATTTGCTCATCTCTCATTGAAGGGCTCATAATGAGGAGCAAAAAATCCACCATGATAATAATTACAGCTTGTGTACCATCTACTGGGGAGGATGAGGATGTAGAGAAATTCCATGAAGAGCTTGATAACACCATCCAAATTAAATCCACATATTCTTTAACACTTGATGTCTTCAATGCAAAGGTGGATAGAAGGGAGGTCAATGAAAATTAAGTTGAAAGCTGTTACTTGGGGTTCAAGAAGCCTTACATCTGTTTATCATGAGTACCTTCTTCAAAAACCTTCTAAGGTAGAGCTGGCACAAAAATCATCAATATTCCCATATACTATTAATTTTTAGAAGGAAGAAATGACATAGAAAAATCCCATTCAAAATAGCTACAAAGTTTATAGCATATCTAGGGATTAATTAATGAAGACACTCTTATAACATATAAATAAAAGTACAAAACATTCTACTGAAATAAGGGAAGATTTAAGTCATTGTAGAGATAGTAATTTTTTATGATTGGATCATGTCATTGTAATAAAAATGATACTAAATTAATTTATAACATTAGTGGTAAAACAGACTATACCAAGTGTTACTTTATGGTCTAGACAAAATAATAGCTAAATTCATTTGGAGGAACAAAAGGCAAAAATTCATTTTTTAAAGCTATGAAGGGGATCTAACATTACTAAATCTCAAATTATATTGTAAAGCAATAGTCATGAGAACTATATGGTACTGGTCAGAAAATAGAGCAGTAGATTAGTGGAAGAGACTAGATAAGAAAAACCTGGAAACGAGTGAACACAGTATTTTAGTGTTCAGTAAACCAAAGAGAAACTAATAGGAAGAGGACTTCCTATTTGACAAGAACTACTGGGAAAACTGGAAAGCATTTTGGCATAAAATAGCTTTAGACTAGCAAGTTATATCATATACCAAAGTAAGTCCCAAATGAATAAGAAAATAACTTTGGCTATGAGGAGAGTCTATTAAAGGATGGAAAACAAAAGGCAAAATAAAGAGTTTTGATTACATAAAATGAAAATCCTTTTGTATGAACAAAAAAGTACAATAAAAATAAAAATATTTAGTACCCCCCATACATTCAGGTCCCCTTGAATTGTTAACCCCAGGTTTAAAGTACATCCTGGGTCCTCCAAAATAGTTCCTGAACTCCCACTAGTATGTTTGTTTTTTTCTCTACTTAAAGAACACAATTAGTTAGAAGCAGGGGCATTTAATGAAATAATAGTAAAAAAGTTGCAGTATCACATTCTTCACTCTTATCCCCTACCAGGGCGTATTCTTCAATGATTGCACGTGCCATAAGCAGGAAGAATTAACATGTATAACTATTACACAGAAACACCTGTAGAGAGGGGCAAATGGATCACTGATGTCTCTTGATGATATCTGTAGGTCCCCACTAATTTTGTGCCTTTGTTTCCTTGGTCTTATGGTAACTGTTCAGTTGATCAGTCTCTGCTGGTCTCCTGTTCCATTGTTTTCCTACCTTTTGATGACTGGTAGCTACTGTCACGGAATTTGGGGGTAGTGTTTCTTCCCTCTAGCTAGCTTCTGGGCTTATCTCTTCAGGGCCACCCACCGCTAACTCTAGCCTGCTAGGATTTAACAGAGCCTTACCCAGAGAAGGCCAGGCAGAGTGCCACTTTAAGGTTGTCTTTTTCAACCCAATGTCTAGGTAGATATTTCAGCCCTCAGTTAGAATTAAAGTTGTGACCTAGGGTCAGACTCCTTTCTTTCAAAACAAAAAGTAAGCCAAAAAAGTAGGGCCATTGTTCTGTATTACCTAACTCATTTATAACATCATAGATTACTAGATCGTAAATCTAGACTTGAAAAGGATCTTAGTCCTTAGTCCAGCCCACTCATTTTAGAGATAAGGAAATTGAAGCAGCATCAGGAACTTTAACAGTTCCTGCTTTTATTCTTCATATATGTCAGCAGCAAAGCCCCATTTCTTTGGTGCTATGTTTTGACCAATTTCACTGCCTCCCAAAAAGAAAAGAAACTCAATTAGGGAGTAAAACCTCTACCTCAAATGTCTCTGATAAAAGTATGATATATAAGGGCAGCTAGGTGGTGCAGTGGATAGAGTACTGGCCTTGAAGTCAGGAGGACATGAGTTCAAATGCGGCCTCAGACCAAACACTTGACACTTACTAGCAGTGTGACCCTGTGAGTCACTTAACCTCAATTGCCTAAAATTTTTTTTTAAAAGTATGATATATATAGAGAGAATAGGCATAGATATATAACTGAGAGCCATTCCCCAATAAGCAAGGGTTCTAAGAACATGAATAGTTAGCAAAAGTATAAGTTATTGATAACCATATGAAAAATGCTCCAAATCACTAAAAATAAAAAGAAATGTAAATATATCAATCAGGAAACATTTATTGAGCACCTACTATACTAAATTCTGGGGATACAAAGACCTACTATATTAGGTTCTGGGGATACAAAGACAAAAACAAAACAGTGCTTCCAAGGGGCTCACAGCTCACATTCTTTTGGGGGAAATAACACATGCATAAATATATTTAAAAATATATGAAAATACACACAATCAGATAGGGACCAAACCTGTGATTTCATTGATATAAGGATCTCTTGAATAAGTGAACTCCCTTTACTAATGCAAATCAACACCCTCTCTGGAAGTTAGAGTCTTAGAGTTCCCTCGAAAACTGAGAGATTAAATGATCTGCCTTGGGTCACAAAACCAGTATATTGTTAGAGGTGGAATTTTAAGCCAGATTTCCCAGGCTCAAAGGCCAGCCCTCTGTCCATTATGTTAATGCTTCCTCTCCATACAAAATAAATACAGGGTAAATCTGGGGGATTGCTGGTGCTAGCAATAGGAGAACCAGAAAAGACTTCCTGTGGAAGGTGATGCTTAAACAGAATTTTTTAAAAAATACAAAAAATGGATTCCAAATCAGAACAGTTCTTGAGTTTTCACCTCATGTTTACCAAATTGGCCAAAGACATTACATCAGAAATGTTTATTGTCTTTACTGTCTCTGGCACTCTAATACACTATTGTCGGAGTCAGTTTAGAAAATAATTTGGAATTTTGTGGGGAAACTATTAAATAGTTTATATCCTTTGATCCAATAATAACAAAACTGGGAACTCTTCTAAGGCAGTTAGTGACAGAAAATATCTGGCATATAGTGGGTGTTGAATAAATGTTTGTTGATTGAAAGAAAAGACCCATATCTATATCTATACAAATAATATACATCCAGATATTCATTGTAGTACCTTTTGTAGTAGCAAAATAAACTCAAGGAAAGGAATGCTTGAATTGCAGAGTAGCTAAATAAATTATGTCATGTGAATACAATGAAATATTATCTTCTCTTAATATATGAATATTAGGAATACAAAAAAGCATAGGGACATGTGTATGAACTAAGAGAGGGTAAAGAAACCAAAACTAGAAGAATGATATCAGAATTCAGAGTAAATATAATGCCCAATCTCAGTTCATGGGATGATGGTGAGACATACTTCCCTTGTCTTGGAAGAGAGGTAGTAGACAAGAGGTGTGAAGTATTGTGGATTGTAATCAACATCATTTGATATGCCCCTATTGATTATATTATGGATTCATCAAGTATTCTGTTAAGCTAGAAAGCAAATAGATTTCATCAAATATTAGAGTATTTTGTAATACTCTGATTACCCTGAGATAATTAGCATGTACTTCTATATTTCAGTAGTTCAAAACCCCTTAGTTTTATTTCTTAAGTGATCCCTTCACCAAAAAATTGCAAGCTTACCTTGCTGTGGTAAATGGCTTCTGTGACCAAAAATATTTAAAACTTGGTGACAACAGTTCTGATTTGCCTCTCTAAAATTCATAGGCTGGTCTTCAGATTGCAGGAATAGCCTGCTGTCAGATCCATACACAAAAGCCTTTCCAGTTTAGTGGGATCTACCAGAATATGCTTTCTTCTGTGTTAGTCTTCAAACAACTCAGAGCCACCTGCATGTCATGAGGAGGAATGGGAATAGGAACAAAACATCATAAAGCTTTTTATGAAGCCAAGACTAGTTGTCAGAAATATACCCTTTTTTCCATTTTAATGGCAGAATGCATTTTATAATTTATTTGATATGTGCTTAGAAGGATTTATGATCATAGTCCAAAAATGCCTGTTCATTTTGTGTGATTCTTGTTCATATCCTCCACTGGAGGTCCACCCATTGTACTGAAGACCTTCTCCTAGATCTGTTGCTATTGGGTGGGTATTAGTGGAACATACAATTTTGCATCTGTGAGCCCTTGTTCTTACTATTTGATAGCACCACTTCCTTTTCCAGTCATATACAGGGTGTCCCAAAAGTCTTAGTTCACTTTTAAGCTATTAAAATACAAGAAACCATGTATTTCTTTGCTTTTGGATTGATTGATAGTAAGAATGTCATTATTGATGTTTCAATTCCTCCATTAGTATGTCCACTTATTGATCATTAGATGTTGGATCTCACATTTAGAATACCAGTATTTAAGTTGATGTTTACAGACAATCTAAAATAGTAACACCCTCTAAATAAATTTAGGAGACTTTGCTACTATCATTGTGGAAGTGGAAGGAGCCAAACAGGACAGAGGTTTATTTTTTGCTTTTATTTAACGGATTATCTATTCAGAGAGTTCATCACTTAATGGGTAGCCTCTGGTGACATGCTTTTTCATTAAGACTGTACCTGAAACTTTTTAGCATGATAGAACTCTTCTAGCATGGCATTTGAGAACCTCATCTGTCTGGTTCTTTTGCAAATGCATTCCTTGTGGACACTTCTCCAAATGGATAGATTAAGTATACTATGTATTAAAATGCTTTATAGAATGTATATCTTATGTCTTCATTTTTATTTGCATCAATCTAATTTTTTCTTTTACCTCCCGTAAACTAGGTTAAAGAATTTGACTCAATATCTCGCCTGGATCAGTGGCTTACTACTATGTTACTTCGTATCAAAAAGTCAATTCAAGGGGATGGAGAAGTGGATGGTGATCTGAAGTGAATTGCCTATAATCTTTGTGGCATGCAGCCTAACTCCTATTTATATATATGTTAATGGCCAGTGACCATTACGGGATACCCCATTTCCCATTAATGGCTTCATTTGTGTTGCATATAAACCAGATGACTGCATATTGTTTAAGATCCCTGTGTCTGTGTTATGATGAAGTGGATGAATAAGGGTCCTCTAATGTTGTTTGTATGTGATGTGGAAATAGTATATATTTGTCAGATTTCTAAAATCTCTGGAAAAAAATACTTCATGAAATAATATATTTTTCATTCCTTTTCAGTGTTTAAAGAACCCAGGTTTTATTTTTGCTTGATGTTTCTGTATGGTGCCTTAGGCTTTAGCACCAACTTAATCATGTAAATGTATGCTTTGTGCATATGGAATACACATATTAGCATTTTAATCTATACTAGCTTTAAACATGTGTATGTAATGGGCAGTTGTTGGGAATGGGTTTATCCTTTTGTTTTTTAGTTATTACAGAACTATCTTACTGGTGCTAGTGATTAGCTCCTTTGCTTTTTTTTTTTAATACCCTATTTATGGGCATAAAAAAAGATTATGTAGTGATCTGGGTCTGTTGGTATTACTTGTCATGGGTATAGGGACAGCCAACAGTTTATTTTTCTCAGGCTAGGAAATTAAAATCAAATTCAATCATCATCACATGCACATATACATGCACATTGCTGAAAAACTCATGAGGAACAGAACATGAAGTTGGTCCATGCAAAGATTTTTAGAGACCTTGGCATCATGGCTAGAGTGCTAAATTTAAAAGTCAGAAAATTTCAGTTCAAACCCAGTTTCTGACACCTATTATTAGCTGTGTGACTATGGGCAAGTCACTTAATAATATCTTTGAGCTTGTTTCCTTACCTATAAAATGCTGATACTACCTATGGTACCTACCTCACACTGTTGTTGTGAGGCCTTAAATAAGATAATGTATATGAATTATTTTGCAAACTTTTAATTACTATTTAAATATCAGTTATTATTATTATGCCCATGTACTATAATAGGTATTTGAAAATTTGCTACAGCATATTTTTTCCTTTTTTTCCATTTGAAGTGTTAGAACATTTTTCAAGTAATAAAAAAAAGTGTATTATAGTGACCATGTGATAGTAATTGAAATATTCCATTAACCTCTAAACAAATGTCTGTATATAGACACAGAAAAAAAAATTCACACTCCTAGCTGTTATTTGTTGTACAAATTACTATATGTAGATAGTATAATAAGATTTCCATTTCCTCACTGTGTGTACACATAAAGTATATGTGTATTCTATATAAAATAGTTGTTTCATTAGGAAATTTTTCTCATTTTTGACTTATGGTTGAAATTGCTTCCATCTCCAGAGTCACCAAAAAAAAAATAGTTTTGATGACTTTTTCAGTGCCACTTAACTCTGCTAAGATGTGCTCTTTTCTATACATTTGTGTTATGTCAGGGAAAGGGGAGACTTTTAGGATTATTGGCAATGAGTTAGATGTATTTATTTGGTTTAATTAGTGAGTCGGGTGTTGCTCTTTTTAGGAAGTAAAAATAATTTGCTAGGGGACCATCATGAATCTCTCAGCAGATGACTGTATATTTGAAATGTTTCAGTGTTTGAAGCTATTTGGGTTATCTATCTTTTCAGTCTTCGTATACAAATCTATCCTAGCTGTTAGGTTATGAAACAGATGCTGTATGTAGACATAGTCATGTTTCTAGCCTATTACTGTTCTGCTGTTAATATTTCTTAGGCTGAAATGGCCATATTGATATTTTTAGATAGCCTGTTGTAAACTGTATTTCCCTATTAAAGACATAAATGTTTTGGGTGACAATGGAGCAATCACAAGTACTAGTGATGTGGAATTTGAATGTATGTTATGTTGTTTTGTGGACATTCCCAATTTAAAAGATCTCTTCATAATCGCTGCTTGTATTCTTAAATGGTAACAGAATAATTTTCCTTGAATTAAAACAATGGTGTATTTTAGAGACCCAGAAAGACAAAAAATGGATATTATTGGAGATGTAAGATGGAATTGGTTATAAATCTTGGTGGTGAACAGGTGACTCTTCTATACATAGCAATACTGAGTGTTTTTACTTTGTATACTTTTTCCTGCCTATTTTTAGCCACTTGGTAATTAAATAAAGAACAAGGTTAGTTAATTTTGCCATGATTTTAGCTTTACAGAATTGTATGTAATTTCTGGGCTTTTCATTCTGGTTTATTCCCCACCTGTAACTGCATGCATATCACAGGGAATCCATTGCCAGAAAGTCCAATGGACTGCCCTTTCCAAAATACATTGGAGAAGAAAAAGTAAGGAAAATAAACCCTGATTTGGCAGCTTTTCAAATATTATTTTGGCAGTTCTTTTTCAGTTTTTAGAAAACTAAAAAATGTCATCATGAAATGTCTGTGTAATGATTGTTGAAATTACATGCTCAGAGGCATCAAGAGATTTATTTACAGATTACTGTGAGAATTTGGTTTAATACCATTTCTAACTTTGGAAAGAAACACTTCTCACTAAATTTATACACTGATTTCATCTGCCTGCTTCTCTTCTGCAAATGTATTTTTTTTAAATTTTTCTAGGCAATGGGATTAAGTGACTTGCCCAAGGTCACACAGCTAGTAAGTGTTATGTATCTGAGGCCGGATTTGAACTCAGGTCCTCCTGACTCCAAGGTTGGAGCTCTATCTACTGCGCCACCTAGCTGCTCCTGCAAATGTATTTATTGATTATGATAAATGTAAAGAATGACAATTTGTCCCTTTTGTAACTTCTGAGGTTAGTGAGAAATACTAAATTGTCCTTGACACCTTTAGGTATAATTAAAGGAGACAGTGTGGTAAAGTGGAAAGATGATTAGATGTGCCGATTTGCTTTAGTTAATTAATTGTACTTTTTTGCTATAGGAGAGGATTGTGTTTTGGTGAATTAGTGCTAAGAAATTCACGGTGTTAAAAAAAAATCAATAAAACTTTTTTTTTAAAAAAAGTATTAGACTGAGAGTTGAGGAAGAGGCTTGGGTTTTGCTTTGGTTCATTTATCCAACAAATAATTGTGGAGCACGTTCTTTGTGCAATGCATTGTGGTAGGCACTGTTCTGTAGGACTCTGCCTTTACCCTCAAGGTAGATAAAATCTGTTGGGAGAGATAAGAGTTGTTTTGTGCTTATATTAAATATAAGGAAAACTGTTACAGTTCTGTGAGAGTGATTCAAAGTACAGAGATTGACCAGATTCTCTTGGGCTGAAGTGATCATAGACTAATGCTTGGAGAATGCGGTATTTGAGCTGGAACTTGAAGGATGAGTATGATATTGGCTGAAGATAATGGAAAAAAAGGAAGAAGTAAAGGGCACATAATGAGCAATGATAGGGCAAGGCAAGTTATGTTCAAGAAGTGGCAAACAATCCATTTTAGTTGGATTGTGGAGTACATGTAGGAGGATAAGGAGAGAGAAGGTTGAAGAGGTAGACTGAGGTCAGATTGTAGAGTGCCCTAAATAGCAGAGATATTTGCACAGTACTCAGTAAACAGTGGGGAGCTATGAAAAGTTTTTGAACTTATTAAATAATGATGAAAGTAGTAATACTTTAGTATTTGTTTGGCAGGGGCTTGTAGAATTGGAAGATAAAGAGACTAGAGTCAGGGATACCTGTTAAGAGGCTGTTATAGTAATTTAGGCTGGTGATATAGATACTGAAAAAGGATAATGGGATAGGAAGGAAGAAGTCACAACTGGGCTGACCAGTGAACCTTGAAGGAACCTTCCAGTTCTAAAATTCTACAAAATATAATTATCAGTTAAATCTCAAATCAACATTTACTAAGTACCTTCTCTGTGGGCAGAACACTGTAGTGTGTGCTGGGGTTATGGCAGATAAGTATAATATGCAATGTTACATGATAAGTACATTGGAGGTGCAAAACAAAATGCTTTGGGAGGTCTGAGAAGGGTGGACTTTTACTCGGGCTATGAAACTAGAAATTTTTTTTAGAACACTATAATATAAATTAGAAATTGAAATGGAGTACAACACAATATTTCAAGAAGCTACTGTTGCTTTCCTTTGAAACAGCTTTTAAAAAAATGATCTTTCCTCAAACCACATTGGGCTAAAGACAAGATAACCAAAGAATAAAGTCAGGTTTTTATAATACTCGGTTGTGCAGAAAAATATACTTTTAATCTCAGACAATAAACACTTTTATGTGATGATCTGATAGTATGGTACTTACCAAAAATTTATCTGGATTGGAGGGCTATTATTCATTTGCCAATGTAGTTGACTTTCTTCTCCTTACTTACAGAATTTCATTAAAGGGACTGTGGGCTTCCATTCCCTTTGCTTGCTAACATGCATTTTCTCCAGACTTCTGTTGTGCAAGATATGATAGAGATAATTTTAATCATTGATTTTTTTTCCTTCTAAGTAAGCTCTGTTTATTCTCCTTTATCAACACCTGACACTGTCAGTTCACCACAGACTAATGAGTGACATGACACTTTGTTTTAAGGATTCAGGTGTTAAGTGGTCACTTTCACAATCTGTGTTGCAACAAATGTTGTTTCAGCACAGTATCAATGCTTGTTAAGAACTAATAGCTATTTGTAGCCCAGAAACATAGGAAAATAATTCTTATTGATGGAACAAACTAGCCAGAGGATAAAGATACATATTCATCCAGAAATACAAACAAACAAAACAACCCAAAACTAGAATAGAGTGAATATAAATTTAATTGCATTGAATTGCTATCCCAATATAATGGAATAGTGCCATATTTCTTTCAACAAGCTAAGGAGTTGGGTTTTCAAGACTCATAAGATTTTCTTTACAAACAATAGTAATAATTATGGAATTATGTTAAAGTTTTTGTATTTTAGCAAGTCTGACTCTCATTTATGGTAAATATTTTTCCATGGATCAACCAAGTTATTTGAGAAAGCTTACACTTGGTTATTCATGGTCAAAGATGATAGTCACAGGTAAAATTTCTTACAGAAAAGCATTGCTTTTGTGGAACTGTTTTTACAACTTGTCTCTTGATTTCCTTTTTTGTGGTTACTTTTTTATTTATCCAATGATATGAAAACAGTATTTTTGCACAATTGTGATATGCATAAATGATCTCGGATAGTATAGCCAACTAGATGCACTAGCTTTTGTGGTGTAACAGTGCATTTTCTCTGCTGTTGTGCACATATTTGTCTAGATGTAAAATGTGATGTTTGTAGACTTGGCAGAATAGCATGTCAGTTCGGCTGTAATTAGCCTGTGTTATAAATGGTGATACAGCAGTTTGCATATCATGTAAAGTACAGAGAATAAAGCTGCTGATATTCCTCCTATCACTTTCTAATAGGTCAGAAAACTTATGAAAACCGTTTAATAACAACTCTGCCTTAGCAGGAACAGATTGTGTATGTTTTGTGTGAACTTGTATAGTAATAAAGTCAAAATTACGATTAATGTTATGATTAGTATTTTTTACTATTATTTATGAAAAGAGGGAGTTTCTTTACCAAACACTATCTACCCATTATGTTGAAAACCTGAAATTATAAGCTAAGGTGTCAAATTGATCTCTTAAAAGGTAGTTAGGTTACTGAGCTTTCAGTGGCAGTTTAACATAGTGAAAGTTCTATTATCTAAAATGCTATAACTAATTTAATTGATTAACTGAGGGTTTACACAGACAGATGTATCTCTAGAATCTTTCCAAAAGTTTTCCCTTTTTAGGAAATCATAAGAAACAAAAAATATTTTTAAAAAAGTTTTTAAGAAAATACAGTTCTTCCCTGCATTTCACCGATTTATCATTTGTAGTTTTGCATATTTGATAAATGAAACCTTCACAGATCATTTTATTTTGAGATGACTCTAATTTCTATATCATGAGCTCAAATATTCTGCCTTTTAACTTCTAGATTAGTTGAAGTTTACTATCATATTGCTCATTTAGCCTAAAAACATTAATCATTTTCTTTCCCTCTTCAAATAAATGTGCCACATCCAAGGTTTTTTTGTTTGTTTGTTTTTTGGGTTTTTTGTTTTGTTTTTGTTTTTCTTTGGTGACTTTCCTAGAGTCACACAGCTAGTGTCAAATGTCTGAGGCCAGATTTAAACTCCGGTTCTCCTGACTCCAGAGCCGTTGCTCTATCCACTGTACCTCCTAGCTGCCCCCACATCCAAGTGTCACTGAGGTTTTAGAGTATACTCTGTTTTATACTTATATTATGAACATGATTTTTAAAAATAACTGAAATTATCAACTTCTGAGCAAATGATTTTAGCTTGAATCAGGGAGAGAAGCAGTACTTATGTAAATTAGTTCACGTGTATAGCATTTTATGGTTTAAATAGTCACCTTTTCAGAGGGCTTTAGGGCTTGCAAAGCACTTTCTCCATAAAACTGAGGTACGTAGTGTAAATATCATTTTACAAACGAGAAACCTTCGAAATACTGTAGTCACTTATCTAATGTCACACAACTAGACCTAAAACATGTCTAAGGTGGCATTTGTCTTTACTATTAAGTTGTGTCCTTTTTCACTACCACAGAAAGGCTATAAAATAAACTCAAGTACTATGGATAGGTTTTGCCCCCTCAAAAAAAAATTGGTTTAAACATCCAAGTTCTCAAATTGCAAAACATTTCCTTCAGACCTATTCCACCAGGAATCTGTGGTGGTCTATTAGTACGGGGGATAGTCTGGATTTTTTTGAATGCTATAACTCATGCCAGGTAGTTATGGAAGTACCTTATTCCTTCTAGGTACCTGTAGACATTTAGAGTACTATAATAGTCACAAAAAGTTATCAGAAAACTAGTATCATTGCTTGCTAGTATTTGTTTTCAGTATGTACTGCCAACCAAAATTTTAGGCCAAATATATCTGGTTTGTTTGACCTATATTGAATAAATTTGCAAGGTAGCAATTACTCATCAACCATTATATATACTTCAGGAATGAATGTCTTCTGACAATTTTCAGTTGAAAGAATTCTCCAGTGAGAATGCTGGACAAAATTCGTCCTGAGATTTTGGTTCCTTTCAGTTTTCAGGTGAAAATGAAGGTACCTCATATCTAGGAATTGATTACATGACAGTTTTGTTAAACAAAGGATGGCTTCTCCTCCTCCTCTCTTCTCCCCCCCCCCGCCCTGAACTATTCTGCATGGTTCTCTTCCACAGAGAACACAATGGCTAATAATTAGATTAATGAACTTTTCTAATTCATCTAATATAATGGACCAGTTATATTCATTGCTTGTTACACCTTGGCCCTCAGCATCACTGCATTTCTTAATGTTTCTAAACATTTGTTTGCCTAAAAATAATGAAAAATAATTTGCCTAAAAATAATGAAAAAAAAATGGGACTTTTTTTTCACGACATGGGTTGTAGAATACGTAATAGGGCCAGACTGGAGTATAATGTGTAGCTGTTCCCAAGTGTTCTTGCACTGCTTGAGAGGCTTCAGCCCATTGCCAAGAACCATCTTTACTTTCAGTCTTTATCTCTTTTGTTGTGAACTTTGGTCCCGAGAACCAAACTGCTCATTACCATAGATTGTCATTTTAAAAAGTAACTTCCCTGATGGATTTATCATTGCTGGAATCAGATG